TCATCAAAAAGTTTGTAGGGATACACAGTTATTTAGCAGATTTCTTTACCTGAGCCATGCCTGTACTTCATGTTCAAAGGCAGCTCCAAAACACTTCTTAAATCCATCTTAGACAGCTCTCATCAGACAGTATAAATTAGATTACATAAATTGCCCTTTGTTCAGGCAGAGCCTGGTTGGCTCTTTTAGACTAATTTTTCAATGGGTAAAGTCAGGGACTATGAATTACACTCAAAGTAAAATTGCATAATGTTGGATTATCAACCAAAGAGAACTGGAGACAAGATGCAGAGTGAATACTTGACCAAACACCAGTTGTAAACTGGAAGCAATCCCCCTAGCTCAGTAAACCCTATAGCAATCCCTCAAGACCAGTGCTGTGCTAGATTGATCATCTCTGCTGAGTTTTGAGTCAGCTGATGGACATCATCATAGTAACATGGATGTGCTGTTAAGGGTCACAAGCACTCAGTTGTTTACTTCTCTTAAATTGCATTGTACCGCAGCATGTAGACATGTAATGAGAAGTGTTCAGTAGAGTTTCAATTTGTAACTTAGGACTGGGTTAAAAATTAGGCTCCAGACAGAAGCCAGAAAACCACTTTCAGATGAAAGGTTCCCATCAGGCTATGCAAATTGAGTGAGTTGAATTTCACAAATACTGAATTTCACAGATAAATTCATGTGTCATTTTATACTCTGGTTCCATTCTGGACTGGAATGCATCAGTGGCAAGCATTTCTCTTCTAGGCTTGACCTGACAGCCATGAGCTTTAGCTCGTGCTTTGTGCTGAGGGGCATGTGCCATGAACTAACAGCTTCACTTCCAGTACTGCAGGGAGAGGTCTCGGTCATCACAGTGTCCTCTGGGAACAGCAGGAGATGCTTAACTCTCAAAATCAGGAGTTAAACTTGTCAAAGCAGGACACAAGGCTTTTACAGTAAGACTTTAAGACCACCTCGGTCAGGAGGTTCAAAGACGATGTACATGCAGAGCTAAAAGAATAAAGGTTAGATCCGACGCTCAGCCTGCTCAACCAGCGTGGTGTTCGAGGCATGACTCCAACCTTAGTAAAACCTCGTGCTGACTTGAATACATAACAGCATCATTATATTATTCGCCCATATTGTGGATTTGCATGAGGACCACAGTAAGGATCAGAGTCTTTAAAATAGTGTTGTGCAATCTTGGCCCAAAAATCTGGCAATTTACAGGGTAAGACAAGTATAATGAACAAAGTCCTGAGTTTCGAACACAGCCTCTCATCCCATACTTGCATCACCAACTTACCTGAGACTTTTAAATCAAAAATAAGAGTGTCATCTCCAATCTTGCATGTGTATGTTCCTTCATCTTCTTTCGTCACAGCTGAAGCCACAAGCTTATGCAGTTTTCCTTTATCTTCCATGGTGAATTTCTTGCTGGCTGTGATTTCTTTGCCATCTTTGTACCACTTAACCATGATGTTGGCCTCAGAGGTCTCAGAAAGAAATTCAGCCTCTTTTCCAGCAATGGCCCTGATAACTCCTCCACTTTTCTCTTTGTTTATGAAGTTTGCAAGTGCTGAAACAAAATATAGACACACAGCACTGGTAAAGAATTGTGTGGACATCAGTAATTATGTACTCTTACATCTACATCAGGTATTCCTTTATCATAAGGGCAAATATGTATGTTTAATTATGGATCTAATTACTAGATTCTAATGCAGACGCAGCTAAATTTCCAGCCTTTATAAATCATACACCTGATTATCATACGTCCAAACACCAGAGCACATATACAACACAGAAGGCTGAGCCCTAGGCAATAGGGCTTTAAGAAAATATCTGAGAGAGGTGAGGAAAGAATTGAAACAAGAAAACTGGAGGGAAAGCAGTGAAGGTTATTCAATCATTGTATTGTAACCACCTGGCAAATAAATTGACTTTAAAAGAGGTTAAAATATAATCTAGATAAATTATATTATATTATATTATACAGATATCACATAGGACTGGAATGAAAAGAAATTTCTTTCTGGAAATTAACTGGAGTATAGAAGATAAACAATAAATCTGGCACCATATTAACATGCAGTGGAATAATCAAGTCACCAATTGCCTCAGAGCAAAGATTCAAAAACCCACCAATATCCTAGCTAAAAATGTGAGCCTAAAACCACAGTCCCATCTTACTTTAGACAATGGAATAAATTTTCAAACATCTTCTTAACATGTTCTTTTAAAACAAGACACACAATCAATGACTTTGTTGGGACTATGCAGTCAAAGCTATGAAAATCAAAGCCTTGATTATGTATACGTTTTTTCCTTAATTTCAAGAAAATGCTTGCACAATACAAATCAACAACTCTCTGCAGAACGCCTGGCAAAAGCAGTTATTAGGTTTCATTGCTGATATTGTAACAAGTCCATGGTCTGGACCAGCTAAGTGAAACTCTATCAGGTTTTTGTTCCTAAGGTGTTATTATCCGTGCTACGTCCTGGTGCAACACATGGGATTTCTCCTTTAGCTCAAAGATCCTAACCACAAGGATGGATTTTGCATTTAGTTTCCTTGCTTTTAAGTACATTAGATTTCTTCAAGTCTGTGGTAGTACTTTTAATTGCAGTCAAATATTTATTAGGGAATCAATATTCACCAGCCTGTACAGTCGCAGAGTCTGGAGACCTAAAAATGAAGAGTGAATTGACTTGCCAAGCAGTACACAGGTAAGAAAGGAAAAGAAAACCTCAGTCCCAAATCTCCCCCCGTCTACGACTGAGAAATACCCAAATGTTTCAAATATTTGCAAATACTTGAGCTAATAAACAGGGCACAGGAATGGAAGGACGTGATGGTGTCAAGGGCCTCTCTAGCTCTGGTCCTCTCCATTCGATCACCAGCTCTGGCAGGGACGGGAGCTTGCATTTGACCTCTTCAGGTCTCTACCAGCCCTATTTTCTGGGGTTTACTAAGTCTGCTTGTTAGAAGCAATACCTATGGATAAAGAAGTCATACCAGAAGCATTTAAACCCAGGAAAACCTCCTTTTTTTTTATTGTTGTTTCTTGGGGTCTCTGTTTCCACTTGTTTCTCTAATGACTCATAATGGTGGGGTTTTCTCTTCAGTAGGACAACACCGCAGTCCTTCACCTCTACCCAACCACCTACGCCCATGAAGCCTGCAGAGGCTGAACACTGCTGAGACTTCTTCTTCTCCACCACCATTACTGGAATTCAGCCCATGGGTTAAAAGTTTGGGGAGGAAGAAGAGGGAGATAGGTCCTTTCATGCACCTTTCGCTTCCTCAGAAAACTAGAGTGAAAAATATAACCACAGCAGTCTGAAGGAGACCTCTCAGATGTCCCATTTTGAAGCAGAAGGTCTTGTGTCAGAGGATGCCCGACACGTGAAGTCTCATGGCAGTGGAGGGACTGTAGTGATAAATGGCAAGTGCATTTTCTAGAGGGGCTTTTTTGGGCAGGAGGCACAGCAAGTGACTCATCTCTGGCCACAGCTCGGCACGGTGGCCTCTCGGCAGCCACGTGATGGCCACATACCAGACACAGCTGACCTGCTCATCAAATGATTCACCAGCTAGCTGTGTCTGATTTACAGGAGGAATAGAGAAAAGCTGGCGATGCTGAAAGGTAAAACACTGGGACATAATTTGTGAGCTTCATCCTACAAGGGTGAGACGTATGAAAGCTGATTCTCCAGGAATTAAGCTACAAACAGCAGACATTTAAGTTACAGCTTGTCAACACAGATTTTAAAATAATAGTATTGATTACTCATTTGATAGTCACATTACAGTGGAAAGGACATGGAAATATTCACCAGCTAATTCAATTAAACCTGTCAGTAGACTTGCCAGAGTGAAAAATGATGCTAAAGAGGCAGTGAGAGAGAGAAGAAAACCAAAATTAAAAGCAGGTGCCAAGTGTAGACAGCAATTCCTCCCTCCATAGATTTAGTCCCATTTTTGAAATTTTTTTTCAGCTCTCTTTTGAGTTTTGCTCTTTGAGAATAACCAAGCAAGCAAGTCGTCAAAAGCAAAATGCAGAAATTACTCTGGGTCTTCATTGTTTCTACAGAGACCAAGGAGAGTGAGAAGCCAGCAGAACATGATGTTGAAGCACCTCATACTTACCCAGTGTAGAAACAGTGCGATCGTTGCTGGGAAGAAGGTGAGGAGTGAGTTATGGGACAGAACACAGAAATCAAATGGCTTTACAAAGTGAACTTGCCAGTTCGAAGTAAAATAGCTCCTGAGCTTACCCCAGATGACGTCTGACAACAGGGTAAACTGTCCTGGAGTCAGGTCGTATACTCTGAACCTCAGCAGACATCTAGATGATACCTATGAGGAACGGTCTGGGGGTACACTGGAGCTTTTCAGCCAAAACCTGGCCCCGTTCAGGGCAGAGGAAACTCTTCTATGAACTAGTTCGTAAAAGCTTGCAGAGGTGGGAAGGCTTGCAAGAGGGAGGCTTAATGCTGTTGGTTTCAGGGTAAAGATTCAAGACTCCATGTCTCGCTCTGCAAGTGGGTGTGCCCACCAGCTATGTAGCAGGCAATCGGGAGAGAAAGGACTGCCATGAAAACAAGAACAGCCAAACAACGGGACAGCTGTAAAACAGTACTGGTTCAAATCTAACAAGCAGGAAATATTAAAAAAAAAAAAAAAGAAAAAAAAAGACATTTTACTGTTTGTTCTATATAGCCTTCCATCTGAATACCTTGCAAATAGCAATGAGTCAAGACATCCAATGTGCCCTAGGAAGGTCTGTTCTTTTTCACCAGGGCATTATCAGAAAAAAATGGAAAAAAAAAAATAAAAAAAATCCCACAATGCCAAGAGGATCTTGGCCCATCAGAACTTTAACCAGAGCTGAACTGGCTCTTCAGTGACTTGTCTGATATCACACAGCAAGCATAGGGCAGACATGGGATCATGTGCATCACGTCCTTCCTCTGTGGCTAAACTTCTTCCTCACAAGAGCACCTTTTCACTACCCGCCATTCAACCTCATGAAATGACACCAGGTTCCTGTGGAATATCAAGACACTAATTTGAGTGAAAGCACAGCTCTTACCACTGAGCGTTAGATCTTGTATTCACTCCCAAGTTCTCCTATGCCGGGAGCACAGACACTGTCAAGGCGAGATGTTGATGGGAAGTTACCACAACTCCCCACACTACCTCTGGCGCACTACCTTTGTGTCCCTTGACGACTCTGTTGGCTTAGGGTAGGAACAGGCCATTAACGCAAAGCAGCCCAGACAGTCACATACCTTTCACTGAAAGCTGATAGAGCATTTTATCCCCTTTACAGACGCACTCATAAACTCCAGCATCCTCTGCGGTAGTGTTGCGAATTTTCAGGATGTGCCTCTTCCCCACAGTTTGAAGTTCATATTTGTCACTGGTCTTGAGCTCTTTCCCATCCTTCATCCAATTCACAGTAGTCTCTGTGTCCGAAAGCTCAGCCTGAAGTTTGGCTTCTTCCCGCAGTCGAGCAGAGACTTTTTCTATATCTCTGCTCTTGTTGGTAAATCTCACTGCAGCACCTGTCAGGAAAAAAGGCTTTGTTATTTGAAGTTATATCAAGATAGCATGTCCCTGATATGAGTCTGCTGTAGACTGTGAGATCTCTGAAAAAGTATTAGGTCCTGTTCCCGCCCTCACACTCACGTCAATACCAAGCTTCTTTTTTTTTTTTTTCCCAGTTCAGGAGATTTGATCTGTTTTTATTGCCAGAGTCACTAAGAAAAAAAAAAATGCACTTCTTTCTACAGATTAATAATACTCTAAACATGCTTCTGCAGAGATTTCCACCCAAAGTCAAACACATCCTTCCAGAATGAATGTCTATTCATTACCTTTTGACATGCAGTGTGAGTAGATATAGATGTTATCGTTATTTCATAGAGGAAAGCTGGAGCACCCAACTCTCAGTGCTAAATCGAGTTATGTGATACTACGTGCACATCACACACATCTGTGGTAGTCTAAAAATCCTCCAAGAAAAAAACTTTGTGAGTAATTAATGCTGCTTTACTTTTCACAGAATCACAGAATGGATTTGGTTGGAAGAGACCTCTGGGATCATCCAGTCCAACCTTTGCCCTAACACCACCATGTCAACCAGACCGTGCCAAGGAGTGCCACGTCCAGTCTTTTCTTAAATCCCTCCAGGGATGGTGACTCCACCACCTCCCTGGGCAGCCCATTCCAATGCCTAACAACCCTTTCTGTGAAGAAATGCCTCCTCATTTCTAGCCTGAACTTCCCCTGGCCCGGTTTTGATAGATTCTCCTACAGTCAGAAAGACTAGCCAAACCTGGAGCAGAAATTACTGGCTTAAGGTGACCCAGTAGTAGATCTGGTGGCAGAATCTGCTGACTGACTGTTGTGAACTACAGAAATTCATGAGCTGATGTTAAGCAGTTGAGTTCGGATACCAACCAGCTGGCCAGATCAACTCACTCTGAACTCTGTGCTATCATGGTGAGGTCATTACCAGGACCCACACTAGTTCATATGACGTAATTTCAGGTACTTCCTACAGACCAGGCATCAGTGAGTCTCTGGCCCCAGTTCTAATCATCAGGTCACAGAAACTGCCCCTTGACTAGAAGAAGAAAGGACAGTGATGAAAATAAATACCTTTCACTTTCATCTTGGTGCTGGTGTCAACATTATTGGCAACAAATTTCACTTCTGCTCCATCATCTTTCTTGGTGACATTCTTTATGATTAGAGTGTGAGTAGTTTGTGTTCTCTTAATGATGTAGGTCTCACTTTCCTGTAAGACTTTACCATTAAGGTACCAAGTGCCGGAACATGTTGTCGTAAGGTCAACAGTAAACAGAGCATCCCCTCCAGGTACAGCTTCAACGGTTGTCAGAGGGGTTTTCACAGCCAGGACTGGTTCTAGGGAAGAACAACACCACCCATCTCTGAGACCAAAGGACATAAGACTGCCATGCTGGAGAACAGTTCTTCCTAAGAACAAAGTTCTTGGGGTAAACAAGACATGAGAATAAAATCCTGCAGCATTATACAATCTGCATGCACTGAAGGCAGTGCACGGTGGGTCAATAGGATTTGATTTCTACAGCTGCAGGTAGCTGACCTCTGGCATTAGCGTAAGTCCTGTTTCTGCAGAGTAAGAACAACACACATATTTTACTGATTTTTTTGGTTTTTTCTCCCAAGATGTTTAAAGGCATAACAAGCCTAAAACACCTAGGTTCCCCTACAAGTGTGCTATTTATTTAATAACCAGTACTATTCTTAGGTTTCAGAAGGACTCTAAGGAGACTACCCAGCCTACTAGTCACTTCTAGATATTCTAGGAAAACACAGGCATGTTCAGACAGCCGGGGAAAAGGATGACACAATAACAAGACACAGTATGATCAAAGTGCATGCAGATATTGTCCAGTGCAACGAACCAAAGGAAGAAGCAATCCCATTGCACACAATGATTCTAAGGGCATATTGGCACCCTAGAAATAAAGTAAAAATCCCATATTTCTCCTAGCGACTCTAGGATTAAAGAGACTGACTGGAGCTTGGTTTTCATGACAATATGATCACACATAAATATACTTTAGGTGCAAGTTTGACATCTCATTTATATATTGAAAATTATATTATAAGCCCACCTCAATTTTTCCTTTCATACCAGGTCTAGAAGAAGCATTTACAGGTTTAAGGGGCATTGCAGAGAGCTCTGCCTCTCACACAGCCTGATGTGAGATATTGGATTATAAGAATACCCAACAGCTCTACCACAGAAACCTAACCGCCATCACTTTGGTGACGGTCAGTGGTTGAAATGAGATAGGAGAACTAGAAGCGGAAGGAGAAAGGTTTTGCTGTGCAATTGCTCTGTCCTCCTCAAAGTCATGGAAAACATCTTTAGAGCACCCGCGTGGCAGATCAGCACAAACTGACCCATTTTTATGACGGTTTTATGCTCACCAAGGTGCATGCTCCCTGGGAACTCCAGGTAGGGGCTCTGTCCATAGGCGTTGACTGCAGACACTCTGAACTGATAGTCAGCCTCTTCTGAAAGGTTGCTCACCGTGAACTCTGGGACCGGGACATGAGACTCATGGCACCTCACCCAAGTAAAGCCAGTTAGTTTCTTGCGTTCCACAACGTAGCCATCAATTGGAATGGGGCGGTCCATTTTCGGAGGGGACCATGCTAGCGTCACTGAGGTTTCTGTTTTATTTTTCACCACAGGGTCAGCTGGGGGTTGGGTGGGAGGTTTTTTGGGAGCTGCACAAGGAAAAAAACAAACAAACAAACAAAACAACAACAACAAGAGTCAGAGTGGAAAAGCCACCGTGCCTCACCGAAAAAAGCTTACACTGGTCTAAAAGCTGCTCATGCTTAATAAACATCCATAAAACATTGACGTGAGATGGAAAAGCAAAAGAATGAATAGAAGATGTTTTTGGGCTGCATGACACAAAGATCTACAATAGTCCTACCTCCACAGCTAAACATATGTGATTTCTACACAATATTACAATTGTCTGCACAGACGAAGAGCCTACAATGAACAATTCATAGGCTTAAATTTTCAGTGCTAGATACGGACCTACTTCCTACACAGCTCCTGGGTAAAGCAGACTAATGCTCAGCTTGTTATTTTCGCTCAGAAGATGGGTAAAACCACCATCAAAGGTTGTTCAAAATTCTGTGCATCAAATTCCTGGTCCACTTCCCTGGCGTTAATCCAGGCTAAAAAAAATAAAAATAAAAATACCTCAAAGGGATCACTGTGGCAAGGTGGCACAATTTTGCCTTGCTTACTAGACACCATTGCACGGGGATAGTTAATACTAAAATTGTAAGTCTGTTGGTATTTATCTTCTGTCAGAATTTCAACCATACACATCCCCTCAGTCAGGAACGTTGATGGGCCTGTGAGAACCACTGCATGGGAAGGCACCATTGCATCAAGGAAGAGCATGGCAATATTTTGCAATGCTTTGCACACAGGTGTGGCATCCTGCACAGCGACGTAAATCCACTCCATAAAAAGCAGCGTAGGACATAGCCAGGAGTCTATGTCCTCCATTTCTTCTTGAGAACCTGTGCCAACCATACACCAAAACATTTCAGCCCAGATCCTCAAGAGGTTTCAACACAGAGCAGCTAAACATTGTACAGCTGGGACATTTCAGGGTGTAAAAGATAGACATGAATAAACAGTGCATGGATTTTTAGAGTTATGGAGATCTCTGTTGCTTGTTAAACAGGCTTGGCTGTTCTCTGTACACGCTTTCATCTGGGTATCTGTCCTGCTTCTGAATTTTATGCTATCTCCACTCAGAAAGCGTGTCGTAACTTTGTCTCCCCCAGAGACTGGGGATCTCTGTTTTAGTAATGTATGCAGAGCCAGCTTTTGGGGTTGGGAAATTAACTTCAAAAGGAAATTACATAAAGACATGTCCCCACCGTGAGACCCTACAGTTGAGGAGATAGGGCTATTTTATGGTATCTAGGTCACAAATGTATCCCTGCAGGTATTTGCATAATGAAGATTTACATTCACCCTCTCGTTCTTCTTGAACCCTTTAGAGCAGGCTCAAGTCCCATCAGGGTTATTCACTATTTGCTTCCACTGATACAGTCAAGAGGCTAGGAATTGTCTGATATGCTCTAGTTACACATCTACTGATGTGGTAAAGGATTCATTTTGTTTAATTTTGGCTATCTGAAAGGTGTCTGGTTTAAGTCAGTCAACCAGACTCCTATTGCAATCCTATGGAGAACAGCACGCTCAGGAGCAATTCATCCCAGCTTAAAGGACATGTGCGAGATGGGTGAAAATAATTGCACATTGCAGATATTCAAGTATTCGTGACTATAGAGACTATAGAGAGAGCCTGTATGATAAGCCTAGGCTGAAAAGCAAACTCTAGGACAGCAGATATTCTTCCCTGCCTCAGTTTACCCATCTGTAAAATAGGCATAGTAGCAATGCAAGATGCTGAGCAAATAATATATAAACATTGCTTGCCTGATAAATGCTATTAGAACAGCCAACACCAAACTTGTCCAACTAATTGAAAAAGATATGAACATAGCACACAGGATTCTTCAAGCAGTTAATCAGATATTCATGAAGTGTCAAAACCAGGAAATCTCAATGCGATACACTTTTCCTTCATTACATAAATAGACACATAAGTGCTTTGGGGTGCCCAGTTACCAGCCTGTCAGTTACTGCTGCTCAGAGCTAGATGCCAAAGGTCCCATTAGAATAGCATTAACCTGAATACTAGACCCTGGAATCAGATCTCTTGACCTTACCATCAGAAACGGTAATGTAATATTTTCTTCAGAGATAGCTGTTCGTGGCAAGACAGCTTCTTGACTTTTTCTGTTCCATGAATCAACACTTGCTTCATAACTTAAATAGCAGAGTCCGAAATCACACTGAACTTCATCGTTCCCATTGAATGGGTGCTTGGTTGGATGTTACAGTTTTCCAAATACCTTAGAAACTGCCACAATGCTAAATGCGGCACTTACCTCATTTTTTCCTCATTTTAGCTCAACAGCATCAGAATGCCCCAACCAAGCTTAGATAATACAGCAGTTATAAACATTTATTTAAAGACTTCTTTTTACCACTGACTAATTACAATTTGGAGGTGTCAGGGGGGAGAAAATAAGTATTATTCTTCCCCCAAATAGTGACCAGAGTGGATGACTTGTTCACATGCAAACTGGAACCACAGCAGAGCCAGAAGCCACATGCAGTTCTCTGTCTTTTTTGACTGGGAAATGCAACACTATCAAAATAAAGCTAAATAAAATTAGGCAACTTCACCGAAATTTCATTTTGGATCCGATCTCAACTACATTGCACCTGCTGGTACTGCTCTGTCAATTAAAATCCTTGCTCAGATCAGATGTGCCAGATGAAGGGATTCTGCAGCCTGTATATTATGTCAGTCTCCCCAAGTAAAGTTAAACAGGACAGAGATCCCTTCTTTCAGCACAGCTACCATCCATTCATAGGGTCCTCCCGGCTTTCTCATGTCAAAGAGAGGATGAAAGAGGACACGGTTTTGCTGGTCTTCACAAAAGGAAGGAAATTATATTTTCAGGAGGAAGCATTTCCTATTTTTCTTGCAGTTTAGTTTGTTTGCATTTTGGTTTTTTTGGTTTGGTTGGTTTTCTTTTTATATTCTACTTTAATGCAAACAGCTTAAGAATCTAAAATCAAAATAAGATGTCTCAAGTTTTCTGAACGTTTGACTGCCCCTGAAATGCTTCATGTGGGTATGTGTTGATGTTCCTTCAGAGATGTTTTTGCTTATTAGAGTGGTAATAAACTTCATACTCTGCCAAAAATGTTCAGGGCACCTATCTAGTTCCTTGTAAGAGACTGCATATCCACAAGCGACCCTTATCTCTCTGCAGACTCAAGACCTGGGGAAGGAACTGAATGCTGGCTGACTCTCCCCTCCAATTCCTCAGCAAAGAGAGAGAGGGAGGGACAAGTGACCCCAATTTGCTAGAACAGATATTATCCCTATAGCAAGAATTTATAAATGCCCCTCAAAGAAACTAATAATTTTGGAAAATGGAGGTCAGCGTGTAGATGGAGCCCCCGCAGCGCTCCACGTACAATGAAGTCAGACGACTGCCATGTATGCAACACACACATTGTTTTCTAGGCACCTCCCGGTCAGGAGAAAACACATGTCCATTGCCCCATGTTTTACTCAGTTATCATTTTACGTTCGTTCCAGCACAAATTGAGAATGGTACAGAGAAGACAGATGTTTGTGCCATGCTCTTTCCCCAGGACTCTTCTTTTCTCTCTGTTTTGATCTCAATAACATCTCGTAACACTCATTTTCAGGCTGTTGGCTTTTTGTGGCAGACATCAAACCTTCTGCTGTCTTTGGACAACAAACTTGCCATGGTGGTACCCGAAACAACAGTGCTACCACGGGAGTACCTGCTTGCTGGGGAAGACACAACACCAAGGCCAAATAAAAGTGAAGCTTACTGGTCACACTGAACTGGGTAGAAGTCCTACTTTCATCAGCCAGGAAGGCAATCTCGCCAGCATCTTCCATCTTACACTCTCGGATGATCATGGTGTGTTGCTTGCCAGAGCATGTGATGGAGATTCGATCACTGGGTTTCACTTCTTCTTTATTTTTCAGCCATCGGATGTTCTGGCAATCATTGTCCAGCTCCACACAGAAGATGGCTGTATCATTTATGAAGACCGCAGTCTTTCGTGGAAGTTTTTTAATGATGTTCCCTTTAAACAAGAAAATAATAAATATCAGCAAATAGCAGATATTAAAGTGTCTGGTAACACTGGACCATCCAGACTACGACAGGACTAGTCAACAGTTCTCACCTAATCAAAACATTATAGACACTATGTAGACATCCCTAAATTAATTCCTAGGCTCCGAGTTATACAGAACAGATAATCCCAAGGACTCATTTTGGCCTTCGAAGAGAGAAAAGGAATCTTGTTTGACTACAGTCACTCATGTTTCTAGCCTATCATGCTGAGTCTGCTGGTGGGTAAACACAAGGTACATGGCCTTGCCAAGAACAGATGTGACAGCGATACAGCTTTCATTGCCCGTATATGCTGGGGGTTCCAATTAAAACTTTGCTAAAGTAGGTCAGTCTTAAACCAGACAGGTCTCTCATCTGTCTTCGCGATTTTGCCTCCATCAGAGTTACGGGTAAGTTACCTAACCAAGATGGCAAACACACCAGTCACTTGAATTAATAGAAAATACACCAAACCCCTCAGTTTTCTTCTTAGAGTCAACCCAGAAATTCACATGGAATGAACTTCACTTATTTGTGTCCTTTTCACGTGACTGCAACGATTATCAGTTATTAGAATAACCTCAAAGCTACAAGGTGTGACTACTCACAGGAAAGCTTGGACAAAGCATCAGGAGACCACCCCCATTGACAGGTGGTGACTGGATCCAGCCCTGGAACAGTCTCTGTGGGGCAAAAGAGCCCTCACCCATTCAAAGCACCTAGAGCTATTTAGCGAGAAGTAATGTGGAGTCTCCGTCTCTGGAGATATTCAAAACACACCTGGATGTGAACCCATGAGACTTGCTGTAGGTGACCCTGCTTTGGCAGGGGCTTGGATTAGATGATCTCCAGAGGTTCCTTCCAACCCTGACAATACTGTGAATCTGTGTAACGCTGAACATCTTCATGAAGCGACAGATCAGGCACACATTTCATCAGTAGGATTCAAGACCCTGATTCTCTGCTCATCTTCTCTAAAGCTTGGCTGCACATCTGCTCCTCACTGCCCTCCGCAACGTCCCTGTCCCTGTAGCCCTTTGCATCCTGCCAGGCTCTCGCATTCTCCCATCCCCGCCCTGCTCTCTCGAATCTTCTCCCCCGGGGGCAGGCACAGGGCTCACTCAGGAAGGCTCTGCCTCCTCTCCCTCCTGAGACCTCCACCTGGCTCAGTCACTCTCTTTTTAACGGATCATGCCATAGTACCATACCACGTAAAACAAATACCAGCTGTCCTACTGGGGCCAAACACACTTACAGTGTTTGGTTGGTCTTAAACCTAACAGAAGGTGCAACAGAAAGATATCTGTCTGAACTCTCCCATGTCTCCGGACTAAGTTTTCCCTTCTGCCTCCACCCATGTGCACTCTCAACTCTTTGCTAATTATACAAAAAGCAGTTTGCACAAGGATGCACGTCACCCAGCTGTCTTGCATCAATTTATGTAGTGAAGAACTTATTTTGGTTTCACTGGGAGTAAAGTCAGGCTTCAAATGAGTCAGGACAAGTGCAATCCTGTAGCTATGATGGGTCTCCAATTCATGCAACAGGAGACGTGTCAAGGATACCAGCATAAGCATCATCAAAATCAAAACTGCAGGTCCTGGAGTTGCATGGGTAGGTTCTTGCTCATACAGCAAGTCAGGGAGCTCAGAACCGATGACCCCTTGTGCAGACATGCCTGCATCTCTAGGTGTGTGTCTATTCACTGGGAGATACCTACACCATAGCAGGCTCTACACTTACTTGCACTTTAGTCCTAAACCAGCAGACTCAGAATACTTGGACATAGATCTACATCCACATTTTGTCCCTTTCTCATCAGCTTTCCAAACTCCAGCAAACAGCTCCAGATGTCTGGGACCTAGAGCGTGGATCTGGTTTCCAATCTGAAACCATACTGATGCTGACTGCAGCCTGTACCACACATTGGACCATAAACCACAGCTGCTAAGCCAACTTCCCAGTGTGGCCAGCACCTCTCCTGGACAAGATTCACCATTGTGTTGGCCAGACACCAGACAAGACATGTGTGAGAGTGCCAGGGGACACATCTGATGTTTGGGGTCATGTTAAGGAAAATCCACAGAGCTAGGCTACAGCTCAAGGACTTTGTCTTCTAGGAAAGCCCTTTAAGCATGGGTCCCCACCAGGTGACATATCTTGTGCAACAACACAATCTGTCCCCGCTTTTTGACCCTGTGTCCCAGATACACCCTGGCAGGAGACCCAGGGACCCACTGACCGACCACACGTGGCTCTCCTCTCACACCGTAAGGGAGTCTGCTGGTCCTCACTGCACATATACATGGGGTAAGTGCCATTCACAAGGTCAAGTCTGGAGCCCCATGGGTGAATCTCAGGCCCGATAGGTGAGACTTGGCTGATCTGAAATAGAAAGACGCTTTCTTACCTTGGACAGACAATTCTGCGATGGTCCTGCTCCCTTCTTTCATCTCACAGATATAGACAGCGTCATCATCTGCAGTGACATTCTGGACAGTGAGCCGGCGATACGTGCCCTCTTCTTCGATGTTGTATTTCTTGCTCTGTCGGAGCTTGGTTTCCTCCTTGAACCAAGCTGTCTCTGTACTAGGAACAGGCACTTCACATTGGAAGGTGGCAGATTCCTTCTCCCTCACTTCAAGATCCTTCAGTTTTTCCTTGAAGGGTATTGAGGGTTCTTAAGAGGGTAAAAACAGAAAGGAGAAACAAGACTTTATGATGGTCTGTGGTAAGAGGTGTGCAAATAAATAAATCAATAGAAAAAAAATTAAACAATAACACTCCTTATTAATTATATTGATTTATCCTGGTCTGTCACCCAAACCCATAATCAAGCCCTACTACAGTAGGTGTTCTGCTGTCACATAAAAAAAAAACCAAACAAACTTGGATCCCAAAAGAAGTATTTTAAGGACTTATCTAAAATCGAAGCCGTATCACTCTGAACTGCAGTACCTGCCCCACAACACTACACAGAGGAGTTTAGTCCAAAACAATGCAAACAAGTTGGTAAAGCATCAGTTTAATAAATTCTACTCTTGTGGCCTTCTTGTCCTCCAGCATGAACATCTCTGCTTTGCACCCTGTCACTTAAAGATGCCAACAAAATGAAGGGCAGAGACCACCTGGCCTGCCTCTCTATATAGCAGCAGTCAGTTTTTATCAGAGTAAAAGCCCTTAAAAGTAAAGATGCTATAGGTGGGTAAACAGCAAACAAGGACAGAGCAGCAATTCTAGGTGAGTGTGAGCAGCTGAGCTGGTCAGCTGGTGCAAGAATCAATGTTTTAGGGATCTTGCAGCAGAAATGAGCTCAGTGGAGGGATCTGAAAGGGCACAGAAGACAAGAGGTGGCTGTGCACACAAGGACGGACGTGGGGAAAAGCATAGAAGGAACTGATGGAGGGGTTTTCTGTTCTCCCCACCAGCACCAAAGGCTCTGTATCAGCTGTTGTCAATGACAATAAAAGAACTAGAGAAAAAGCCCAAGTCTCCCAACTGCTTCTGCTTTCCTCCAGCATTGGGCTGCAGTGCTCTGGCTTAGGAAGAAACCAAAGCATAGATCAAACATGCAAAACAGCTGCATGGCAGTGAGGGAGGACATTTTACGAACAGAACAATGTTTAATTCCAGTGACAGCTGCGCTATGAAATCATCCTGTTACCCCAGCACTAAACTGGAGATAGGGGAGTTGGACTGAAGAGGACAGCCGGGGGTCACAGCAATGGGACTGGTGCCACAGTCGTGTCACGGACTTGGATTAGCCAGTGCTGACGCATCACCACTCATGTCTTGTGAGAGATCATGTCTTGACTTGTACCTTCATCTTCTAATAACTAATGCACCAGCTCCCAGCCTTTTTTTGTGACTCCATTGTCCCTCTCCCTGACCACACACACACTCCCAGGTTGGTAATTTCAAGTGGTCACTAGCAATCAGTAATGTCAAGTGTTAGTCTAAGTGTCAAACAGGAGTAGACTTGTCTTAGATTTATAGGCCCATGCCCATGGTGGCACATCCTGATCAGAGTCTCCATGGTCTAGAGGCTGGAGAAACACAAATTGAGGCCCTCAAACATCCCACATCCAAACTTTGATGTCCAGGAGCCCCTGTTTTGTAAAATTCAGATCCAGTAGCTCAGTGTATAACCGAGTCCATTACCCACCCCTTCCTGCCCACCATTAGGACAAGAGCTGCTACAGGACCAGTGCTGTCCTTGATCTGGTTTGCTCTTTTCAGAACTCAAGCCCTAGAAACTCACACGTTCAGTTTGGCAGGTCTTACATTCCACCCCTGGCACAGCCACCATTGCAGCTGTCGCACAAACACCTCCAATCGTTTCTAGCTGATCACGCCCCAGATAGAGATACCGGACTCTAAGGGCTTGAAAGGACAGCTGCAGGGAGCAATGCTATCTTCTACCTTGGTTGTTATCCTGCGATCCGAACCTGACTGGGAACCCATACATTACCTTCAGGAACAGGAAGGTTACTCTAGCTCACCATATCAACTTGGTTATTTTCTCAAAAAGCTTTCCCCTAATGCACCTCAATTCCAGGCAAGTCAAAGTCTTGCCTTGAAAAACCTTCACTACGGTTCCACAGACCTGCTCTGCCCACACTTCACGTGTTAATTATCCTTTTTTTCGTCAACCAACGGGCAACTCAGACTTCTGCCCTGCAATCCTATATATCATCTCTGGAAGCACCCCATGTAGTCAGGGGTTGCAATTCTCATGCCATGGGAACAAGGAAGAGGATGGGATCAAGAAAGCATTGGTCAGAAGGATGCCAGCCTCCAGGAGCTGGATGCAGCGTTGCTGTGTGAGATGGGAGGGAGTCTAGAGGTGACACCGAGAACACACGGACGTGCCCAAGGGCGAAAAAGAAATAGGAGATGCACCTGAGAGGCACACAAGTGTATTCTCATACTTGGAGCAACTGGCCATATCATTAACCCCTCTCCCTTTACAGTGACTAAGCAGTATCTATGGTTAAAAAAAAAAAAAAAGAGAAGCTATTCTAGGAAAAACCTCTTAAATGTACAAACACAGAAGTTGGTTGACTCTTTCGTATGTGTTAGAGTAACAGCATTGCCTTTCCAGCCAGGGAAAATAGGTGCAAGACTATCTTTGGCAGCTTGGGGTCACAGATATCCTCTGAAAACAACTTTACTTTCATCCTATGGACATGTGCACACACATCTTATCTCACTCTGAATGAGGTTTCAGAGAGACAGCAGCTGATAAACCAAATTGAAGCCTAGCATTCACCCAACCCACTGCTTTATCTGTTTTTGAGATGTGAGAGAGGCTCCAAAACCCACCAGCCTCCTCCTCCTGAATACATCTTCATGCTCTTTACATGGTCTAACATGTACTTGGTCGGATAGAGAGGGTTAATTTTGGTCAGGGGACTACAGAAGGACCACAGGTCTCTTGAGAGCAGGCATCCCAAACAATTCATCTGGCCCATAACCAGCCCCCTGCCTAGGTCACAGAGATGGTCAGAGAGGTGGCCAGGAGGGAACAGTGTCTCTAGCTGATCAACAGGCAACCCAGGTCTCAAGGAAAGGTCTGTGAAAGGCTGGTGGCTCATCTTCCTTGTTAATAAACTAATCAACATAGTCTGAACACATAACCACATAACATTTACATAAAGAAGACTTATTCTGAGGAAGAAGGCACTAAACTTTACACCAGTCTTTCACTGTACTTTCCACTTAACTAGTTAAATGTGAAAACAAATAAATCCACTTATTCTCCCACTGGCCAGCATGGTGAGTTGAGCAGAGACCTCTGTTTCTCTTTCACCTCACGTTGGCCTGCGGTCTGTCAGATTTGGACATTTACATTGCAAAATCTCTAGCACAGGCATCCTCTCCTACCTATTTGTACAGCACCCAACACAATTCAGAAATGTTCTGTGCTGTAACTACTATAGGCATATTGGGAAGAGTTGCTGCAGATAGCAACGTTATATTTGATCCGATAAACTCCATAAATATTGACCGCTCATTTCTAAATGTCTATTTGTCATGTAATACCCTTTCACGGGGTAATTCTCAATGTAAGCTTGTATTAAGTATAACTCTAATATGGAAGATAAAACCATCTGGCTAACAACAATTTTCATTATTATCCAAAATGTTCATAATATCTGAAAAGGTCCTTGTAAGATAAGCAAAAAGTGTGTTCAGCTGAGGTTACATGTGATGTATAATTCTCCCAGGTACCCTGTGTTTCAGATAAGAAGTGCCACCAAGTCCCATCTCTAGTTCCTGTAAATATCAAAGCTGGTTAGTAATTATTTAACATTAAGGAACAAAGATGATTTCTGATCTCTCAGTTCCACAGCAAAATGCTGATTTTGCTCAAAACAATTACTCAAATCTCCTTTGAGAAAATCGAAGTGGTTTGTGTCAGAATGACTGGGGTGGAAACGGTCAGGATTGTTGATGAAAAACTTTTTTTTTTCACTTCAGTTTGACATCTGCCTGTGACCAGGTGATCTGCCACGGTGCTTTTTGGAAGCCATGGTTTGATGGTTTCCTGACCACGTCCTTTCCTAAGGATGGTCTCCCAGCTGGGCTGTGTTCCCCACAATACAAAGCCCTTTCAGCTCTGCTCAAGTCATCAGAGCTCATGACAGGAGAAGAGCAAGTGCCACGCACCGTGGAAGACGTGGTGTAGACGCGGCTGACACAGGCTGCAGTGGAGGAGAAGCAGCAAGAGGCACCCAAACTCTACACCCTGCAGACTGGAAGAGCAGTTCAAGTGGATGCCATTTCGTACAGAATCCAACCAAAAGTACAAAACGGTGTTTTTCTGATCACTCCAAATCAACTGTTACCTAGAAACATTAACTTCCATGAGAGCTCAGGGGTGTGAATTTGAACAGTAATTCTGCTTTGTCCTTGTAACATCTGGACTTAGAGGTCATGGCTCATTTTCAGTGCCCTGAGAGGTCTTTTAAATTCATTTCTAGTATCAGTATGATTTTTTTTTCCATTTTTTTGACTGTACAGTTTTTTCTATTAATCTATTTTTAGCCAAAGCAGAAATATTCATTAAGGCACATAATGAAGGCAATAATATTTCTAAGGAAGGAGAAATGAGAGAGCTACAAAAGCCTGCCTACTGGGAAAAATGTGGGATAGAAACAGCAAAGCAAAACCCTGAGGGAGCATGGAGCAAGAGCAGTTCATGGTGTTAGGAGGAAACTGCAAGAGCTTAGATCAGCTATGAATTTGGCTGCTTATCTTGAGAACATATTTCTCCAGAGTGTCATAGGCTTTTTTGTTTGGTCCATATCAAGCAAACTAGCAAAGAGATGATGTTATTTTTCAAAAGCAGGTCCTGCTAACACATATTTTGCTAAGAATAGGTACAGCCTGCAAAGAAGCCAATGTTTTCTTAACCTTCTCAAGGCATATCTGTCTGCTTGACCTGGTCTTCTCACTTGCCTACATTTCCTCTTGCCTGTTCCTGGCCTTCTCACAGGCTCTCCACTTATTATTCCAGAGGCAAATTTTCCCTCTGCCTAACAAAAATGATCAAGTGAGAGTAAGAATATGGAAAAGCCTTCCAACAAGAACTATCTAGAATTGCATGGACAAGCTTCCCCCATCTTGTGCCTTTGATCTTCCTAGTTACTGTGCTTTCCAAGTTTCCTTTCTATCTCCAAATTTCTCAAATTGCAATTCTCCTTCAGATCTCAAATGTGACTGTCATGATAGTGGTCAGCCAAAACCACTTCGAATCAGAGGGAGAACAAAGTGGACTCAGCACCAGTTTGTTTTTCCAGTCTCTATCCTATTTGGCTTGCAACCTTTAACCTTTTCATACAGTATCTGATTACTGTATTCAGAGACTCAAATGAACATTGCTTGGCCCAGGCCCAAGGATGGAGACCTGTGTGCTGTTCTTGCTAACTTTACACATGACCTAGGGACATTTCCAAAGCCTTTAGGACATTCAAGTTGGATATTCATGTTCCTCCCATCCTTTCTGCTCTTTGGTTTGTCAAAGAGGTTTACTCTTGGGAAGCATTTCCTAATTTTTTTTTTTTACAGCTCACATTTCAGCTTGGATACTGCTTGTGATTTTATCCCTGCTGTAGACATGTTTCTGAATCGGCGTAATCGACTCTTGTTTTTCCTTAATTGTGAGAGTGACTTTCTGCCCTGTAGCCTCTCCTCTGAGATTTATGTCTGATTCATTACATCCCATTCAGAAACAGCTGAAAAATATATTTTTTTCAGCTCAATGATCTTTAAGGCATGGGCTCAGTGAAGTGCTTACAAATGTGTTGGATCCCTAGGTGTAGCATCTAGATTGACCAAATATAGGAGGCTTTCTAGAGCAGGTTTGACCTGTGCCCAGTCCTATGCCCTGGACTGCTGAGAGTCACCTTGGCAGGATCCCAGCCTAGGTAGTCTTTTTTTTATTATTACCTTTAAAAGATCCATAAATGTTCTTACTCGGATTCTTGTGTTGAAATTCCACAAACCAAAATGCCAGAGCATATTTAAACCCATGAAGCTTATCTTTCCTGGTACGTATGTCTGTGGAAGGTTGAGTGGCAAGATGACCTACCTCCCTAAACCCAATGGCAGATGAGCTAATCGCATCACTAATAGCATAAACAACAGAATTAAAAGTTCCCTTCACTGCTACATCATTCTGAGCTGTCTTTGGAGGGCTGAGAAGGACTTCTGGTGACACAAAGGACAGTTACTATTCAGGGCCTAATTATAACCAACACACGTAGATTTTCCATGGTCAGAAAGCCTGCTCAGAAAGCCAAACATGGTATAGCGTAACAAAGAAACAGACCATAAACATTTCCACTTAAGCCCTCTGACTCACAGGCATCTCTTGACAACAGACATTGATCAATAAACTCTTCCCATGGTGCTTGCTCCCAGACCTGCTGCTTCACAGGCTTTCCCCATCTCCTTTGGAACAGGTTGGACTCCTTGAGAATAATCAAACAACCATGGGCAGAGGGGGGAGTGTTTGTCTTCGCAAGACCGGTGTTGGGCAAGTAACAGAGCTTGAGCCGTCCTCAAAGTGAACACCTACCCAAGGGCCAGGCTCAGTCTTCAGCTCCGAGTCCCAACTCATGAGGTAATCCCAGCTTTATGGAAGAGGACAAATGCCCTTCCCAACATCGCTCAGCACCTCCAAGGGATAGCAATGAGTGGGACAAGTGCCAGCGGGTTCCAGGGATCAGGTGTCACTGATGGACATGGGGACTGAGTCACTGACGGGAAAGAGGGTGAGTGTGAAAGGAAAGGTCCAGAAAAGGGAAGTCAGAAAACCAAGTAAAAGCTGAGAGTCTTAAAGATGGGTATGAAACACAGGCCATTGCTACTCATTTGGATTTCTAATTTATTTTGCAGCTAATGAAAAACATCTATTTTGCCACTTAAGTGGCGAAACCTTTTACATCTAAGAGTTAATTTACAGGTGCTGCCTGGGTTGCAAACTGCCTGCTATAACCTTGCCAAATGGGAGGGTAGCTTGAAAATGTAGAGCTTCCTTTGTGAAAATGTGTGTGTCACATTTTTGTCACCATTCTGAAGAACTTGGTCTGACCTCCACCAGCATCAAGGGACCCTCCGAAGGCAAGTTCTTCACCAGTGACCACAGCAAACAGAGGCATCCTGGACCTGAGAGAGTTCAGGGAGCACACAAGGACTACAGGCTATCCAGCAACACAAGCCAGGAAAATGCTGAAAAGCCTGGCAAGAACAAGGCTGCTGGTGGGTCACTCTGTACAGGAAAACTGAGATGGACTGTAATTAGAGTTGGAGTAGATCCCCCAAGGGATCCAAGGAAGCCTGACACACTCCGCTTGCAGGGAGGAGTTTCCTCTACTACTGTTTAAATGACATGTGTGTGCCAGTTTAACTAAACCCTGTGGTGAATATAAACCCAGGTGTGAATAAAACCTGGAGGGTAAGATGGGACTTTAGCAGTCACTGATCCAGAGGATGGTAATGGATATAAAACCATGACAGATGGGAGCTTTAGAGGTCTGGTTCATCCCAGCTGCCCCACAACCAGCCAGTTCTACATCATCCACCCCCAACTGATGCCCGTTTATTGCCCTTCCTAAACTCCCCCAGTGATGACACTCTCCCCAGGTCATCTGTTCCAGTGCTTAACCTCCTTTACAGCTGGAGGGCTTCATTCATGTCTAACCCACACTCCTTTGCAGCAGTTGGGTGGCAGAAGTTTTGTTCATGCTCCCACCCCAATTCAGAAGTGCATTGGCTGTCTCCTTGCAGGCATGTCCACCCCGGCAAGAAACATAAGAACCCACCTTTGACGGTGACAAGGACGGAGCTGTACGTCTGGCCTGCCAGGTTGGAGGCTGTGCAAGTGTACAGCCCATTGTCTATCTGCTTGCAGAAGAGGATCTTCAGCACAAAGTTCTCCTGATCATCCTCATAGATGACATGCCGCCGCCCTTCCAAAATGACCTCGTTGTCCTTCTTCCACACAATCTCTGGTTTGGGCTCACCCGTCACGTAGCAGCTCAGCTTGGCGTGCTTTCCCTCCGTCACACTGCACATGCGTGTCAACGCCCCAAAAGTTGCGTTGCGGGCCCCTTTGGTGGTAAGTCCAGCCGCTCTCTCGTAATCCCGGGAGAGGCTGTAGCTGATGCCGGACAACCCTTCTGTCGCGAAGTAAGATTGGGCAGATGTTGAATCAAGAGCCCCATGGGAGATGTCTGTCTTCCTGATCTCCTCCCGTCTCTTTTGCAAGTGAGACAACAAGGATGCCGTCTTGCCACAGCTGGTATCGAAGTGGCTGCTGCTGCCCGGGTTGGAAGAGCCATGAGTTTCTACCACCAGCGCAGCCGAAGCGCTGGCAGAGCCAATGGGATTCTCTGCCCGGCAAGTGTAGGTACCACTGTCCCCGAGCCGGGCACACTGGATGGTGAGAGCGTTTGACTCCCCGGCAGACTCGATCTGGAAGCGGCCGGCATCAGCCCGGTTCCGCAGGTGTCTCCCATCCTTCTCCCAGTTCACCGAGAGGGGAGGGCTGCCCTGAACTTTGCATTTGAACATGGCGTCTTCTCCCAACGTTACTTTGATGGAAGAGGGTTTCTGGATGAAGTATGGGGCTGACTCTGTTACTGTGGTCTCCTCGCCAACTTTGATGCTGACAGCTGCAAAAGCTTCCCCGATGGTGTTCTTGGCTCGGCAGATGTATTGGCCGCTGTCCTCCAGGCTCAGATCATAGATTGTTAGCCGATAGAGATCCCCATCTTCTGTGGTTTTAAACCTTCCCCCAGACTGGACTGGAAGTTTATCTTTTTCCCAGCTCACAACTGGGATGGGGTTTCCAATGATCTGGCAGCTCAAGGTAGCATCCTTCCCCACAGACACCATAAATGCCTTAGGCCGGGTCAAGAACCGGGGGACTCCACTGAACGAGCTGTAATCCATCTCGGTTTCCTTCCTAAAGGGTGAGAAAGAAAAATGTCAAGAGAGAGCAGATTAGATGGTGCAGGCAGAGAACGGCTGCACTTCCATGGTATTACGATGTTTGTCATCTAGAACAGTCATGTTTTCATTGTCCTTCTCATTATGGGTAAGAAGGCCTTGGAATATTTTAGGTCTTGCAGATTTCTTAGATCTGAGAGAGATAAACTGCTGATGAAGAAGGTAGCTCACTTCCCCACAGGAGTCACTTTGCGTTGTTCTTACAGAAAGAACACAACGGTCAGCTTTGGCACTAGGAAAGTGACCTGCACTAATGCTATACAACATACGGGCTAGTTCTGTAGCCACAGAGAAATAAATGGACATTAAATTCCAAAAGATGTGTCTACCCATCAAGATACCTCCTCCATCATGCTCATCTCCTTTTCATTTTCATCTCTCTTTTTCTATCTGATTGCCCTTGCTCTTTTCAATTTTTCTCATTCTCCTTGACCTTTTTTTTTGGACTTTTTTTTTTGCCTTTTTTTCTTTTAATTCTGCTTCTACAACATGGTCCACCTCTCCTCTTGCCCTCTCTGGTCATTACCCATCCCTACATCTTGTTCTCTGAATCACGTTCACACAGATCTTAGGGTAAACCCCTCTCCTGTAGGGTCCAGCCTTTAGGAGGAGACACAGATACGCCTGTCACATTATTGTTGGTATTTCTCTTTATTCCCAGCTTCTGTTCAACACAACCACTGTGATACAGCTACTTTGATGGCAATGATATCCTATGAGTATCTACGGTTTATATATGGTCTCATCCAGATGGTGTAGGGCCAGACACAGCTGAAGATGGGGTGTTTGTGCACATGTATGGCTTTGTGCACAAGCATCACGTTCACGGGAGCGCAAAGCCAAGCAAAGGGACTGCCACGGGGAAAGCATGCAGCAATCCAGCCTTATCCAAAAAAGCCCCACGTGCCTTAGGGCTTACAGGAACGATGTCTCATCGCCTGCGTATTCTCAGCTGCTCTCAGAGGGAGCTGTGCACCAACCTGCAGCTGTTTGATGATACGGACCAGCCAAGGGGATGAGGCTTAAGCAGTGTTCGAAACTAAAGCTTATGGCAATTCTGGTGCCATTGCGTCCCGAGAAAGCCAAAAGCAATCAGTGGCACTAAACTTTACAGCCATGTTCATTCACACACAGAATCTACCCATCCCTGTGCAGGTGGAGAGCAATACAACAGAGATCATCGCCTTCAGGGTCCCCCCTAAAGTCCACATAGCACACCAACTTTTCTTGCTTCTTCACTGCTCCTTACATGGACTCCTGGATGTCCTCTCCCTTCCGAGGGAGAGGGTCTACTTCTACTCCTCCAAGAAGCCCTTTTCTGTGCATTGGCTAGCATTTACTTTGGTAAGCGTAGCACAGCTAAAGATGTGGTCTCGATCATCAGCACCAGTAACCATGCACCAGTTGACTCTCCCTGGGAGCAGGACTAGACCTGACAATATTCCTTAGAACGCAAGCTTCTCAGCTCCAAGCCTCTCTGGAAGTCCTACTGAGAAGACTTGAATGCACCATTTCTCTCCAAGCTACTATATCTCTTTGGCCTCACAATGCCAGACACTCCTGTCTTAGCAAGCTCGTCCAGCTCCTGTCTGTGCTGGACGAACGGTCTCTGCTCAGGGGTGATTGCAGTGCTGCTCTCCCATCTGTGCTTTTTCACCTTCAAAGTGCCACACAAAGCAAAATGACCAGGGCACTGTGTGTTGTAACTCAGAAAGGAAATAATAACCAGTCACCGAGACAGAAATATCCTTCTTAATCCTACAGAAGCAGTTTGGCTTCCCCCCGGCCACAAATCCACCCCCTCTCTCACCCAATGGCAGATGCTCTCACAATCTCCCCCCCACCTCCAGCAGAAATCAGTAGAAGCAGGCCAAAAACCTGCTTTCGTTTCTTGAGTCACCGTTTGAGCAGAGGTTTCATTATTTTTTCCATCTTCCTCCATCTCCTGTTGCAGTGCATTAACGTTAACGTGCAAATCACTGATGGCACCAGGGAGTTGGGGTTGGATTGACCTGCTGATGACCTTGGGAAAATCCCTTATTTTCTCTGTGTCTTGGCTCCCCTCCCATTTCTTCCTCATATCAAGACAGGGATATATTATGTGCAAACAATTACGTGCAAATAATTATGTGCATGGTGTATATATGACAATGTACCTGCTGGTGTATGACAAATCATGCATGAAAATTAATAACAGATTACAATTTTTCATTCCATTTTAGCTGCTGGGGATCGAAAGACATGAATTGCCGTTAAAACTGAATACTGGGAAAGCGGTGGCACAACGATACAAAAGAGTATTTGCTATAATCATTATTAGCACTGAAGATGGTATAGCTGAGCTAACCTTCAAATTTCATTTGGGCCACAGATCTAAGGCAAAACCAAACATAGTCTTCTTTCTATATTTAACAACAAAAATACACTATGTCCTATCCTATCTTGTCTCTCCCCCTCCAAAGAACATACAAAATTCTTAAGAAGCAGTCAAGGACTTTTCCCTTTAGATGAAATTAATCCTTTCTACACTAATTCAATTCTGGTTGCTTTTGTTTCCTGGTATCAAGCAAATTTCATTATTCCACCAAAAATCTTTAGAAATTAAAGAAAATGCTTTCAAAGCTTAAAAAAAAAAAAGTAATGGGGAAAAATTGTTCTTGGGAAACACTAAGGGTGCAAAGAATGATAGACTTGCAGTCATTAGTGCTAAGACCAACTGACTTCTGTAGAGTGGTCACCTTCAATACTAGTTGCGATGAATATACAGAACTATTTTTGCCTTGGTCTCAAACTGGTCTAGAAATCTGTGAACTAGTTTGCACTTTTTTAGTCCCTCTTACTACCTTCAACTTTTATCCTCACTTGAACTTTAAAATGTATTTTCCTTAAACGCTTGCAAAGCTACAAGCAGACAAGCTGCATGAATGGTTAGAAGATGCAGATACAAACCTTGGGCTTGAGCCAAAGTACGTTGAAGTCAGTGGAAATTTCCACTGAAGTCAACTGAGTGACAATCAGAATCTTTGCTAATTTGGGGAAGGACCATTTCAATGTTCAGAGAGGGATGCTGGGATTCAAGTTCAGCTCTGGAGAATCCAGCAGTAACATTCACCACATTACCTAAGAATTAACAATCAAAACACAGATGCAGAGCTCACGTCCTAATCTTTCCCAGCCTTTAGCTTGACTTTCAGGCTGCAATGTGTCATCAAGGCATTCGGACCCATCTTCAGAAGACATTGCCATGTGTCTTCCTTCCTAGATCCCTGTTTCTGACAGATGTGTCACTCCGACTCATTTCCAGCTTCAAATCCATAGCATCAAAAAGAGCAAAAAAATAAAATTGCTTCACTTCAAAGTGGGCTTTGCATAACACAGAGAAGTGCCTGGAGCACAGAGATGGCTGCAGACACAAGAGGTGCCTGCTTGGGAGCCAGCCAGTGACCTTTCAGCAAACAGTGGCTTCCCTCAACCCACCCGAGTGTTGTTTCCCTCGCCTGGTCCCCAGGAGACGTACCCACGTCTGGAGGAGAGTTCTGCTCTGTGGGAGCGTGGTGGATGTTCTCAAAGCCTGGCTCTTACAAGAGTGAGAGTAGGAATGCTGCTCGCTTCCTAAAGCTCTTGTGCATCCTCCTCCCCTGTCCTCCTGCACTAAATAGTGCCCAAAGGAGCTCCAGCTTCTCACTGGTATCTCCAATAGTCAAAAACGCAGGGAAGCGGCTGCATCAGGTCCCTGTTTCTCTTGCTCCTGAACCAAACTGGTGCAGCAAATCCAAGATGCTCCTTTCCAGTGATCGTAGCCTCAAGGTCCAGCCTCTCATTGCTCCCAAACACTTTCCCAGTGTTTGCAACTCCCATCTCTCCATCAGGTACAAGCCACTGTGCCCACAGACCTCCTAGTGCAAGGTGAAGACCCCATGTCCCGTGCTGTACTCTACACCGCACCCTGCTCGCTACCAGCTCTCACCACATGTCCTCACACTCAACGGTTCCTACGCCGTTAGGAATGGCTGGGATGCCAGAAGAAAATCCAGGGATCAGTGAAATCACTGCATGCTCATCAGTATTATTTTAGCTTAATTTCTAACATGGTAAGAAAGCAAAACAGGTTTTATTCCTTGCTCTGCCACCAGCTTACTTTTATAATGAGAAAGTCGCTCAAACTCTTGTATCTTCAGTCCCCACCTGAAGAAGGGGGTTAAAAACCTTGCCTTATGGGTGTTGAGAGCGTGAAATCCAGTAACAGGCATGAAATTCTAACCTGCGGCAAGGATGAAGCTGCAAGAAATGTCTAACACTCAAAGAGATCAAACAGTTTAGACAGGCTGCACTAGATAAACTACATTTTGTAAGTTTAAATGGGAGAAAATGCATCACATTAGATTAGGCTGATAAACAGATTTAGGAGTAAGAGGGAGAGGATAGCCTTGTGAACATACTAGAAGGACAAGATTTAATATTTCTATAGTGTAACTTGTTAATCAATTTAGTAAACAATTATACCAATTCATATTCTTTACACGTACATTCATAGCTTAAAAAAAAAAAAAAAAAAAAGGACACTCTGCAAGTGCCAGGATGGCTCCCTTGGAAGGGATAGGACAGACAACAAAGCATGAATAAACCCAGTCAATGCAGATGCCCTTTCCAATTAATCTCAGACATTTATCAGTGTCATATTTCTCCTTGTAATCCCTCTGTGATTAATCATTTGCAGCAGAGATCACATTCCCAGCTGGGTATTTCTGAGCACGCCGAAGGCAAAGTAGCAGCACTTGCAATTTTACTTATGTCTTTATTCATGCAAATTTTTACTGTTTTATGCTTGGGGGAAAGAGGCACAAGTGCACAGACCTGCCAGATAAAGCAAATAAATCAAATCACTGCCCAGGAACCAACACATGGCCATGCAGCCAGCCAAGGCCTCCTACCCACTCTTGTCC